GCTTGTCGGGAGGGCTGGGGTGAGCTGTAAAATCCTGTACGATTGGTACGACACGACATGCAGCAGTCGTTGCGACGTTCAACGTCGAACGGCGCAAGTCATAAGGCACGGTCCGTGACGGGGTGACTTTCGGACCTAATTTCTCGTTTTTCGGGACTTCTCTTCAATTATTTCCTCTTGAAAGAAGCGGAATCAAGTTCACAATACCAGTTTTTCATGAAGACCAAAAAATTAGCCCTGAAAGTTGTGGCATTCAAATAATAGCCCCAGGAAATGATAGAATAGTTCGTCTGTCACGCTTCTGAACTATCCCTAAATACAATAGGTGACATGAGATCTTATGTTGCTAAAATTCAACCCAAGTCGTGCTAGCCATTCTGTGACTTATCATGGGAAGCGCAGTGTTCGAAATGCTAAAAATTTCCAAGTACGAATCGGGAGTAGTCGGCGCACGACGCCGTCTCCTGTTCACACTCGAATTGCAGCCGTTTTGTACGCTTGCGTCCCCGTCTACACCCGTCTACGGTATGAAAAGTTGGATCGATCCAACTCTTCCCGTCGCTTCCCGATCTGTACGGTAGTACGGTTGCGTTCCCGTTCCTGTTGTTCACATTGGACGCCGTCAGTCCGTCCCGTCGCTTCCCGTCGATCCTTACGTCGCGTCCCGTCGCGCCCCGTCGAATGTGAACTAGGCTTCTATCTCGATCCACGTGTGCGTATCACAATGTGTACAAAAATGATTTTTACCCGCCATATACGCACAAAAGTCACATTTGGATTCGTTGGATCCGATCAACCCTGCTCCCCGAGGAGGGTTGACCGGATCCAAATCCGAAGGATCCGGATCCGGATTCGACCAATCGAAAGGGTGCGAATCCAGTGGATCCGGTGGATCGGGATCCCGATCCTACCAATCGAACATGCCCTAAGTCACACTTGATTATAAGTCGCGCTTGATTATAAGTCACACTTGATTATAAGTCGCACTTGATTATAAGTCGCACTTGATTATAAGTCGCACTTGATTATAAGTCGCACTTGATTATAAGTCGCACTTGATTATAAGTCGCACTTGATTACAAGTCACACTTGATTACAAGTCGCACTTGATTATAAGTCGCACTTGATTATAAGTCGCACTTGATTATAAGTCGCACTTGATTATAAGTCGCACTTGATTACAAGTCACACTTGATCACAAATCACACTTGGTTATAAGTCACACTTGATTATAAGTCGCACTTGATTATAAGTCACACTTGATTATAAGTCACACTTGATTATAATTCGCACTTGATTATAAGTCGCACTTGATTATAAGTCACACTTGATTATAAGTCGCACTTGATTATAAGTCGCACTTGATTATAAGTCGCACTTGATTATAAGTCGCACTTGATTATAAGTCGCACTTGATTATAAGTCACACTTGATTATAAGTCACACTTGATTATAAGTCACACTTGATTATAAGTCACACTTGATTATAAGTCGCACTTGATTATAAGTCGCACTTGATTATAAGTCGCACTTGATTATAAGTCGCACTTGATTATAAGTCGCACTTGATTATAAGTCGCACTTGCTTATAAGTCACACTTGATTATAAGTCACACTTGATTATAAGTCGCACTTGATTATAAGTCACACTTGATTATAAGTCACACTTGATTATAAGTCGCACTTGATTATAAGTCACACTTGATTATAAGTCGCACTTGATTATAAGTCACACTTGATTATAAGTCGCACTTGATTATGAGTCGCACTTGATTATGAGTCGCACTTGATTATAAGTCGCACTTGATTATCAGTCGCACTTGATTATAAGTCGCACTTGATTATCAGTCGCTTTTGATTATAAGTCACACTTGATTATAAGTCACACTTGATTATAAGTCGCACTTGATTATAAGTCACACTTGATTATGAGTCGCACTTGATTATAAGTCGCACTTGATTATAAGTCGCACTTGATTATCAGTCCCACTTGATTATAAGTCGCACTTGATTATAAGTCACACTTGATTATAAGTCACACTTGATTATAAGTCGCACTTGATTATAAGTCACATTTGATTATAAGTCGCACTTGATTATAAGTCACCCTTGATTATCAGTCACACTTGATTATAAGTCACACTTGATTATAAGTCACACTTGATTATAAGTCACACTTGATTATAAGTCGCACTTGATTATCAGTCGCACTTGATTATAAGTGACACTTGATAATAAGTCACACTTGATTATAAGTCGCACTTGATTATAAGTCACACTTGATTATAAGTCGCACTTGATTATAAGTCGCACTTGATTATCAGTCGCACTTGATTATAAGTCACACTTGATTATAAGTCACACTTGATTATAAGTCACACTTGATTATAAGTCACACTTGATTATGAGTCACACTTGATTATAAGTCACACTTGATTATAAGTCACACTTGATTATAAGTCACACTTGATTATAAGTCACACTTGATTATAAGTCACACTTGATTATAAGTCACACTTGGTTATAAGTCACACTTGATTATAAGTCACACTTGATTATAAGTCACACTTGATTATAAGTCACACTTGATTATAAGTCACACTTGATTATAAGTCGCACTTGATTATAAGTCGCACTTGATTATAAGTCGCACTTGATTATAAGTCGCACTTGATTATAAGTCGCACTTGATTATAAGTCGCACTTGATTATAAGTCGCACTTGATTATAAGTCACACTTGATTATAAGTCACACTTGATTATAAGTCACACTTGATTATAAGTCACACTTGATTATAAGTCACACTTGATTATAAGTCACACTTGATTATACGTCACACTGGATTATAAGTCGCACTTGATTATAAGTCGCACTTGATTATAAGTCGCACTTGATTATAAGTCGCACTTGATTATAAGTCGCACTTGATTATAAGTCACACTTGATTATAAGTGAAAAGAATTCGGGTGGACACACCCATTCCCATAGCGCTGCATATCACATCCGAACCAGTTCCGTTATTTTACAACGTTTCGGCACTTGGCCATCGTCAGGTAATAACAATGAATACCGTGGAAGCCACACAAGAGCAGTATATACGCAGAGTGTAGCGCCAAAAAAGATGCGAATTATGTCACCTAGTATGACAGAGAGAGAGAAAAAGGCGCAACTAGCACATCACGGAGGAGAAGCAGCAAAAGGTAGCGCACATTGTGCTCTGTGAATGGCGTTGCACAGAGTGTAGCGCCAAAAAATAAAATGATGCGAGTTATGTCACCTCTATACAGAGGGGGGGGGGGAGAGAGAGAAGGTGCAACTGTGCACATCACGGAGAAGAAGAGCGCGCCGTTGTGCTCTACGAAGTGAGGGTACATGCCAAATAATTATGGTGTTAATTCTAGCACAGGATCTAGGAGGGGAGCACGGAGCCCCATGAGTCACTGCACTATGAGGTTAAAACTTCCATGCCAAACTGTTACCACCAGGGACGCGACGAGGCATCAGGAATAGAATGGTTTTGAGTGACCCGCCTCATATTATAATTATTCAGTGATATTGAAGTAGCAGCAGGGGAAGCTGAGAAAATTCACAACAAATCCCATCCGGTGCTTATGTTCACATGGGGCTTGGCATCACGAATCTCAATCGCCTCGCGCAGTTTTCGACGGGCTCGATCAGGCTCTCTTCCTATTACTTCAACTGCAGAGAATGCACTTTGCCCATAGTTAAGCTTACATCCAGGGTGAGTGGTGCAAAAATGTTGGCCCCATGGCTTGTCGAGTTCCTGGCGTCTTGCCTCACCATTATGTTCTTCCAGGCGAGTTTCCAGAAAGCGGCCAGTCTCACCAACATATTGTTCCGGACATTCTTTGCACTTCAGCTGATATACAACATTCTTCTGCATACATACATCCTGTCCCCCGGATATACACGAGATACATGGCCCCTTTGGGCGACCTCTCTTTTTCGGTTGTAGCGGATTTGCAGCCTTGGCACATAGAGGAGGAACGAGGGCGGAGCGACACAATGTGCGCCTCAGGCTACCAGTGTGCTCATATACGACTCTAACCGGAATTTTATACTAGTTGCCCCTTTTTCTCTCTCTCTCTGTCATACAGTAAGTATCGTTTATAAAGTGACCGGATATAATGATAAACCGGTTATAGTGATAGAACACGTCAAAATCAAAATCAAATCTGAAAAAATACAGCTAAAATATCACTATATACACTATTATCGGCTATACCGATATATCGCTTATTGTGATGGCCTTCAGGAAGCAAACCATATCAAATGTACAGGAAAATATCGCATATAATGATCAAGAGTGATCTTTCTGCATGCTCTTGTCCGTTTCTGGCTGTGTTGCCTCTCACGATGATGTTGCCAACTCACGTACACAGCCACTCATGTCTATTTCTGGCTCTACGCAACTCGTTGGACACCGAGTAGATCTACGATCTACGTGAGCACGGATCCAGCTCAGGCTTTTTTTGGAGAACACGCTGAAGAAGCAGCCATGCCACATGATGTATCGAAGTTCTAGTACATGTACAGTCTGTACTCGTACTGCACTGCCATGCACTGCTCTGTGTCATGCACCGGTACACAGTCCGCGGAGCATGCATGCACTTTCAGCATGCTTTTTCCAGCGTGTACGCATCATTTCATGTGCAGTCATGTGCCATGTGTCGGTCAAACATGCAAATCGGCTATAGTGATGCACCGGATATAGTGATACATTTTCGAAAATCAAAGGGGCACGTTATATCCGATATTTACTGTACAAGTCACAGCTCCTGTAGGTTACAGTTACAGACTCGGAAAGGCTGATAGGAGCGGAGCTCCTAAAACTGCATCCGCACTCTAACTGGTAGAGGATGTGGAACGTCGTATAATGCCATTTTTGGCCTCGTAATGCTTCATAATGCTCGTAATGCTCCGGGTGGTGTATAATGCTCGATATAATGCCGGCATTATCCGCCAACACCTACCTCAGAGTGACACGTCAACGCATTGCGCCTGGCAGACATTAGCGCTTGATGTAGCGGATACGCAACACCAGTATCAGAAGTCCGGAAATGAAGAAGGCGAAGAACAACGCCAGCAAGATTCCAAAGTCAAAGCAGATCTGATCCAAGCCCTGCACAAACATCAACCATAACATTGTATGACGTCATAAATATTCATAAGTCTCTTATTGTCACACCACAAGTCACGCTTGTTAGGTTTTCTAGCACTTGCACCTTTGTGTCACTATTTTTTATGTGTATAGGTTACGCATTTTTGCTGTTAGTTTTAGTTATCCGTTCTTCTTTGCACTGAGTTATCACCTCCTTACTGTACTTAATCCACTGTTCTTGTTCCTTTCCCTTTGTCTGTATTTCACCTGATGAGAAGGCTTGAAAGTATACTTGTTAAACCGAAAACGTTCAAGATGTTCGTAAAGAGCCTGAAGTGTGTCCTCTTTTTTTCTTTTCTTTGATTGTAATTTGGATATGCTATACTTGTAGATGTTTCCATGAATGAAGTCATAATGGTGAGTCGGCGTAATTCCACAACCGCTTATGGACGCTAAATGTGTCGTTGCAAAGGTTGTTTGTCGTCCCTGAAACAAACATTGTTCTTTTCTTTCTCAGGCCCCGTCTAGTAGTAGTACTGTCTGTCGTCCAGTGTTTTGACGACTCCCTGCATGCACTGCGCATGCGCAGTGAATGCAGGGAGTCGTCAAAACACGGGACGACAGTACTGGCTACTGCCACTGCCGCACTGGCACTGGTGCAGTCATACACTGGATACAGTCATACAGTCATGCAACTCCCTCGCCGTGAACATGTGCTGGACTCTCAACACTGGCTCTGTAATAGTGTTAGTCCGTGAGCCAAATCTCAGAATCGGCTGTTTTAGCATCGACCGTTGCACCCAGAGAGGGACAAATCGTCCTTCAGCACACCGCTTCAGGATGGTATCCTGAAGCGATTTCCACTTGTTGGACAATTCGAAACTGATCCAGGGAGGTCACAGAAGACGCCAAACATCCAACTTTGCTCACTGACAGCAGCGGCCATTTTCGCCTTCTTCACTTGATTTTTTTGCGCTTGTTCACGGATTCTCATTTTTTGAAGCCATGAGCAGATTCCACGAGTGCACATAACGCGGAAACCAGTGCACAAAACTAGATTTGAATTTTTTTACCGCTGAGAATTATCAATCCGGATCATGCATGCAAACTGCAGCGAAGTTACAATGCATTCGTTCAGAACTAAACTGACTTCAAAGAATGTCCTAAATACCTCTCGAGATATTTGTTCACCACTTCCTAGGCGTAGAAGACTGTAGTGAGTAATCTTCTGGAGCGAATGGCGGACTCTGCCCCGAGCATGAACTTCTTTTCATCCTGTTCAAGGTCAAATATTACTCAGTTTGCGTTGAAGAATAACAATTACATTCGTGAATGGCTGAACTGAGAATACCCTAATGATTTCTCTTGGATTTCGTATCCCAAGTTCCTCTACTTGGCTGGATAAATCGCCTCTTGACTTCATCATACTGGAATTGGACTGGTAGATAATAGCGAGCAATGAATTGGTGAGTGAAGTATATTTATAATAACCACTCGATTACTGAATAGTAGTGAATACGTAGAATACTCCAGTATTATAATGATATGAACACTGAAGCTAATGTGACATTACGGTAGTACAATAGGAAGTACGTCACCACTGTTGTAAATGCACGCGCTGATCCTATCCAACCTGACAGCCAATGCAAGAGGTTGGAATTGGCTATTGATTGCCTAACACACTCATACAGTACCAAAAACTATCTGTCATTGCTCGTTTTCCACTCAACATAACACAGTTGGAAATCACTAGCTAGGTGCACATCTTGGCACATAATGTGTGCTATCGCAGTCCACCGCAGTACACAGTAATACACAGATAACTACCGATATAAGATGATGCCACATACATACATACATACACGCTGTTATGGAGCTTCAGTCACGCAGGCATGCACGCCAACTCGACCAACAGGCAGTACGAAAGTAACTAGTTGTTATTCAGGGAAGAACATTCCAGAGAGAGAGAGAGAGAAACAAGTTGAGAGCAAAACGACAACATAAGAACTACTCATGAACTCATGGCAAAGAGTTCCCAAAAGGCAACTGAGTACAGCCAACTCAGATGCATATGGATTATCGGGCTAGAACGATGCTGAGTGCGGTGGTACGACTTCTACGCACAGCACGCAAGACTCGCAACAACGCACTATACCGGAACTAACGATAGCATGATAAGACTGAAAGCGTGCATACAGCAAGCAATGCAAAACAAAGGAAACGCGTCCATGCATCGTGTGCAGCAGACCACGATGATTGATGAAAGGGCAAACTGTCATACTGGTGAAACACTACCCATGTAGGCTTACAGCATGATCAATGAATAGTGAAGCAATAGACAGATAGATAGGTTCAGTTATATATACATTACACCTCTCCCCTTGATGACATTAGTCACGGAACCGCTGAGGAGGACGGATTGCAGCCCGGCGACGAAGTCCGTAGGCTTGGTCAAGCTGCGGATCCATGTCGATTTGGATGATAGCAGGGATGTCATCACGATCATCAGCAGAGTCAACATCTGCATCTGCGGCAACGGGGTGAGGGTCGAGCTTGATCAGGTCGACATTCACTACTTTCTCAGCATTGCGACCACGTACAGGTTCACACCGTCGAATCACCACAGTCGAGGGGGACAGAACACGAATGACTTGCCAACCAGGTTCATACATCGGTAGACGCTTCTGGTGACGGTCAGGACGGCGGAGAAGAACGTGATCACCAGTGTGATAGACAGGCACAGTCTCCTCTTGGATGCGATCAGCGTCGGATAACTCGGATTCCACGAGGTCGCGCAGTCGAGCACACCGAGCAGGGTGATCCCGAGACCAGTTGCTGCCGTCATTCACAGGCCGATCTGGATCAGCGATCAACCGGTGTGGTGTCCAACCACAGATGGCTTCCATCGGTGAAATCTTGGTTGCGGAATGAGGTCGGTTACGATAGAAGTACAGCAGTGTGTTCAGATCAGCATTCCAGTCAGACGATTCGGATAGGACCTTCCTCATCAGAGTCAGCAGTGTCCTGTTGAATCGTTCAACACAGCCCTGCGATTGGGGATGGCGTACTGCTCCAGTTTGGATGGTGACTCCAAACATAGCAAACACAGAGCGGACGATAGCGTTGATGAACTCAGTGCCATTGTCGAGACGGACCATATCAGGGGGACCCCAGCGAGTGCAAATCTGCACGAATGCATCAGCCACGGATTGCGCATCGTGACGGCGTAGCGGAGCCACTTCCACCCATTTCGAGAACATGTCGATGCAAACCAGAACGGAATGGAACTCACCAGATTTACTTGCGCCAAGTTCCAGGGTGTCCAGCTGGATGACACTCCAGGGTCGGTCCGGCAGTACAGTGCGAGTCGGAGGAGGAATCTGACCACGGCGAGGGTTAGCACAGCAGCACTGCGCACAGCAGCTTACGGTTTCTTGGCAGCGTTCAGCCATTCTCGGGAAATAGCAGTGTCGGCGGAGAGTGCGATACATGGACTCCCATGCGCCATGCCCAGTGTTGTTGTGCGCACTGTCCAGTAGCTCATCAGTCAGAGATTCGGGAACCACCGGCACTTCAGCGATGTCACCATCGGGCAATTTCACGCTTCGGCGAAGCAGGCCAGCCTTCACGATCAGCTGAGCAGCAACTCTCCGGTAGCATGCAGCCGACACAGGAAGCCCATTGGAGACCTCGTGAATGGCAGCCAGAATCGGTCCATCATTCTGCTGCGCTGCGCGGATGGTGGCAACAGCCATGGGCGGGGCCACGGCGGGATTAGTGGTATCACCAGCAACAGCACACATGTCAGACTTGGCACGGCAGAGCTTCCACCATGGAGTGGGTACTCTTGTCAGCCGATCAGCCAAGTTGCGTTCCGAGGGCACCCATTCGACCACGACAGACAGGCCGGTGAGGCGGACAAGCTCGTCGATAGCTTGCAAGCGGCGTTGGACGAGCACATCGTACAGACCGCTGGTCTTGACACGGCGGATGTCATGCAGCAGGTTATACAGCCAACCATGTACGGTCTTGGAGTCGGTCAGGAGGCGCACACTCGTGAGGCCGTAGGCGGTGGCACGCTGAAGGCCACTCATCACCGAATCAAGTTCGGCGACATTGATATGTGTACGATCATCCTTCGGACGCAGCCAGCACGCATCCTCGATGACATCTGCACCGCATTGCACCACAATTCCGGTGGCAATGTTGGATGCGTCGCACCATACTGACCATTGTGCGGCAGGTGGAGCAGACCAGGCACCGTGTACCGGATCTTCTCCTTCGACGCGACCAGACAGCTCTTGGCAGAGGCTTACGACTTCTGGTGGTACCTTGGCGTCCCAGCCTCCAGGAGTGAGCGAGTCAGCCAATCTCTTCAGGTAGCTAGTGTAGGGCCTGAGCCAGGAGCACACAGGATTGTGACCAAGCAGGCGACCACACCAGCGGAACACATCGCGCTTCGTTGGGCTCGCTGGGCAGCAGAGGTCGACATCTGTGCGTCGTCGCCACTGCAGGACGTCGTTCGAGCTGTGAAGCTGGAGACCAAGGACGCGGGCTGATCGCAAGCATTCAGCAGGTTTGGTGGGTAGGCCAAACTTCACCATCTCGTCTTCCACCGTGGTGACGAGATCATCAGGCACGAACAAGTCGTCAACATAGCTGTCTACAGTAGGGTAGGGGCCAGTGACGTACTGTACGATCAGGCTCATCAGCTTTGGCGCAATCCCAAGGCCGAAGCCCATGCGCATCATGACGTACGGCTTGCCCTTGTAAATGACGGTCTGGAACCTCGCCAGCGACGGATCAAGACGGACCTGCAGGTATGCCTTCCGTATATCCAGGATGTGGAAATTGTCACCAGCCTGTCGCCAGCTGCGCAGCTTCTCACCGCACACAGGGGTGTTGCACCCAGGGTGGTTGCGGATGAGCTGGTTCAGCCCACGGTAGTCCAGTACAGGGCGAACCGGTGTTGAGGCCTTGTGCTCTTGGCACTTCGCAATCAATGGGAGGATGGCGCCCGGTGGTCCGTGAACATCCGCATCGTGTGGTACCAGCCAGCCTTGCTGGATCCAGGCATCTACTTCAGCATTGAACTGCAGCTCCTGATCGGCGGTGAGTTTGGCGCGGGGATATTCGCCAATCCCTGACCCAATCGGTTCAGCAGGTGGCATGTCGTCCCTCCAGTGCCACTTCATGCTCCAGTAGCCGGCGGCTGCATTCCAGTGCACCTCGCCATCATCAACACTTAGTGTGACATCGTCACCAGAGTGGTTGACCGTAACGTGGCGGGACAGCTTGGAGGTGCGAGCAGTGCTGTCAGCAGGCTTAGGTGGCACATCAGTGGCAGCACTAGCAGCAGCAGACACAGCGGCACAGCCAAATGAGACGGACGACAGACAGCCGTCAGCGTATTGCAGGTGCATACCTCCAGCGCGGGTCACTACATCGTTGCCGACGACCATGTCGGTGTTCAGGACACTCAAGTCTGGGACAACCAGCACAGATACGGCAGTCAGTAGGTCCAAGTGCACAGGTCCGTCGAGTCGACGGAGGTTCAGCAGGACGCTACCCAGTATCTTCAGCGATTCACCGTTGAGGGCGAGCATGTTGTCCGGACACTGTTCCATGTAACGCAAGCCATTGCACTTCTGGAGTGCGGCACGGCTGATGAGAGAGCGCGTGCAACCAGTGTCCACCACAGAACTCAGGCGAGTCCACTCGTCGTGTTTTTCTCGGCAGGCATCGACGTACACTCGGATAAGGGAAGACGATGATGTAGTCAGGGCCAAACAGCAATCGGTTTTTCCTCCTGGCTGGTCAGAGACACCAGCAGACGCAGTGCCCCGTGTTCTCCTGGTCGGGCAGTTTCTCCGGATGTGGCCTAGCTCGTGACAATGGTGGCAACGAACTCGGCTGCTCTTCGAGGAAGATGGGCCTGCTGACGAGCTCTGCGTGGAGGGTTCCCGGTTCCCAGCGCGGCAGGTCTTCTTGACATGCCCAGTTTTCCCGCACGTGTAACAATACAAAGACTTCGCTGGTTCGGTGGCAGCAGCGCCAATGGCATGCGATGATGCAGCGCTTTCAACCAGTTGCAAAGCGCGAACCTTCTCTGTCACGTCACTGACGGAGAGGGCCTGTCCAGCACCCTGCAAACGAATGTCTCGCGCGAACGTCGGTGGCAAGCCACAAATCACCTGCTCCAAAAGGACCGGGTCCTTGTCGTCTGTAATCTTGTGGCCAGCTAAGCTCAAGTGGTGCTTCAGGTCAGCAACGTAGCCGTCCACAGCCTCGTCAGGGCGTAGGCGACGGGACAGGAACTGCTGATAAGAATCAGCAGGTGCAGGCGCGAAGGCCTTTTCAAGTAGCGCTTTCACGGTTGCCTCCTTTTTCCTGTCCGCCTCCGCCATGGACATGAAGACTTTGAACGCCTGGCCATCTAGGACCAGGGGCAGGTGCTGCATCCGTTTTTCCTCCGTGTCCCACTTTTGAATATCCGCCAGGACACGGAACTTCGACCAAAACGTCTCCAGGTCATCTCCTTTTCCGCGGAACGTCCGCAGGAATCCATCGAGTTTCAGCGACATTATTTCCAAATCAAGGCCCACCACCAAACGACAACACAGTCGCACCAGGTATCAGCGGGTTTCGGTACCAGATGTTATGGAGCTTCAGTCACGCAGGCATGCACGCCAACTCGACCAACAGGCAGTACGAAAGTAACTAGTTGTTATTCAGGGAAGAACATTCCAGAGAGAGAGAGAGAGAAACAAGTTGAGAGCAAAACGACAACATAAGAACTACTCATGAACTCATGGCAAAGAGTTCCCAAAAGGCAACTGAGTACAGCCAACTCAGATGCATATGGATTATCGGGCTAGAACGATGCTGAGTGCGGTGGTACGACTTCTACGCACAGCACGCAAGACTCGCAACAACGCACTATACCGGAACTAACGATAGCATGATAAGACTGAAAGCGTGCATACAGCAAGCAATGCAAAACAAAGGAAACGCGTCCATGCATCGTGTGCAGCAGACCACGATGATTGATGAAAGGGCAAACTGTCATACTGGTGAAACACTACCCATGTAGGCTTACAGCATGATCAATGAATAGTGAAGCAATAGACAGATAGATAGGTTCAGTTATATATACATTACAACGCATACGCGCGCACCCACACCCACACGCGTGCGCATGCGTGCACACACACACACACACACACACACACACACACACACACATGAAGCAGCTGCCGAATCCGACTATGCAGTCTCCCAGACACGCGCGCACGGGCACACACACGAACCAGCTGCCGAATCCAACTATACAGTCTCTCAGCCATGCGTGCACATCCACACACGTGCGCGCGCGTGCGCACATACACATGAACCAGCTGCCGAATCCGATTATGCAGTCTCCCAGGCACGCGTGCACGCGCACACACACACACACATGGACCAGCTGCCGAATCCGACTATGCAGTCTCCCAGGCACGCAACCTCAATGGCAATGGGAGAAGAACAGACTCCAGGAGGACGCCGGATCAGGAGGAGGACCCACCTCAGTGAGTGCAAAATGACCGATGCCTGTTGTCTGTTGTGGTCCTGCTGCCGTCAGTTGTAAATTGATCTCTCTTCACAAGACGGACAGCGACCGAACGAAGGAAAAGCAGATGTCCCTGGTGCCTGCCTGATCACCGAGGCAGAGTCCAGTAGCGGATGGGAGTGAAGGCAATCTAGGGATGCACGTGTGGTTTGGCTGAGGCGCTGCTCGCATCAACGTCCTAGCGAGATCTAGACTTTTCTTGAATCCATTTGTTGCAGTTGTGCAGCTGGAACCCTCGGGTTGACTTGCAACATGATCGCTTTGGCTGCAGTGAGCTAAAACCCACCACTGACCTGAAACACGGATCACACTGACCACAGTGATTGTGGCAACACCGTGCCCTGACACCCACCATCCGGCCCACAGTTGTAGCCTGGGGTGGTGTCACCAACAAAGGAATGCGCCTAGCACGCACACACATGCACCCGCGCGCGCACACACACACACACACATGCACGCGCGCGCACACACATGTACGCACGAGCACACACACATGCACGCGCGCGCGCACACACAGAAACGTGCACGCACACACGCACTGGCACACATACACAGACAATGGTATAGTATGTTCCTCGTCAAGCAGCCAGGTGCTCTGGCTTGGACCTCCAGCAGCGCTGGTTTCGCCCTCGCTACTTGTCGTCTTGCCCTCTCCAGTGCTGCCTGCAACAAAACATTCCCTTCCGTAAACTCTGGGTGGACCAGTTCTCGGTGTTGTGTTGACACCGTGCTCTGCTTTCATGGCATTCGTTGTTCGTATCAGCCACTAAGCTCCTGGTAGGTAGCCCCTTGTTGGCCTTAGGATGTGGCTCTGGGTTCACTACTACATGCACATCACTGTCAGTAAGTATAGATAAAGCAAAATCAGAGGCAATGGTCTTCTCCAGTGTTGCAAATGCTCAGGATCACATGCGTGCAATTGGTGTAGCACTTTCCATGATACCAGCCACACCATTTGCTCTTCCCTGAGCCCTTGTGCTGGCAGAGAAAATCCCAGACATGGTCGTCCTTCTCTCGAACAGCGCTGACGATGCGACGCCAACTTGTAGTCTCGATATTACTCGCTGCAGGCTTCTCGTTTCTACTAAATTGGGTGCTGTCACACAGACATAAATTCCAGCAATATTACTCTGCTGGGCTGTCATTTGCCATTTCGTTGCCGTCAGCTGCCCCATCTGGCACCTCGCTGCCACTAGAAACGTCTTCCTCCTCTTCCATTGTTGTCAAACAACATCAATGTACACGAAAGGAATAAACTTCAATAAAGTGATCACAAAACCCCAAATCCATATTGTCGTCAACGTCGTTATCTTCTAAAAAATAAATTATTTTTCCTCACTCCACCCGAAATCGTACTTTTGTGCTTACTCGTCGGATGCACACCTCACCACTCGCGTAAAAATATTTGTTCTCACGGTGGAATTTGGTCGAGAAAAGAAGCCCTCCCGAAGGTCTCTGGATCGGTTCTGGAACGTCCAACAAGCGAAAACGTATCCTTTGTGATGTCCTTGACCAACACTGTAAGCGGCGACTTGTCCCTCCGAGAGTGCAACGGCACTTGTGATTTTGAGTTTTGGCTCACGGACTATGTAGTGTCATCACGGAAACGAAACGAAAGCCTTTTTTTGTAAGGAAGAAGAATTATTTCTAGCAGATCTAGGATTGTAGGGACAGCAAGGGAGAGCGAGAGAAGCTGAAGAAGAGCCGATGCTCTGCGCTCAAACCTCTGTCCATATACAGTGTAACTCGCATTGTTGCCTCTTTCGTCTCCGAACATTTCTACAATGCAACGTTTGTAAAATAGAGCAGGACGCCCGCGCCCCGTTGCAGAGCTGCGTTGTACTGTTTTCCGGATTCCAGGAGACTTTCTCACGTCCAGCGGCTCAGTGGCCGTGTGAAATAGTATAATTCTCTGGCCCGAATCTGCCCCGCCATGGGGCTGTGCTGTGCATGTGCGATACGTCTCTCTTTCAACTCGCACTCATTGGATGATTGGTAGCGTGCTGTGCGTTGACAATTAAAAAAGAAGTTTGTATCCTGGTTCTATTCGGCCGTCCACACCCTCACACGGCGACCTCACCGTGGCCTCTAACGACCTGGAACACGGCCGTGGATATATCCGGGTACTAGTATCAACAGGGAGTTTATGCGTATGTCCTAGCGCCCTACTAGCACCAGTAGCTCACCTGCTATACGTCTGCCATCCCAACTGACCATCTGTACATGGTTGAACTGAACTAGAACTACCTGCACTGCTCCATACCTACTGTAGTCTGTATCCTGCTGCTAGCGCTACAAGTACAAGTAACGACTGCTACGTGTGACCATGCATCGATTGGACATGCGGTGGGTCGTGGAGAATGGCTGATCGTGTGTGCGCCATCATGGTGTTCAAGTCGCTCGTGGATTTCGCTCACCCAGTAAGGCATCATGAATTTGTGCATGTACATGTAAAAAAAAAGAGTAAATTATCGTGTCCGTTCCCGAAGGGAACTCACGACGGCCGCTAACCCCCGGTAAACCCTAGCGGCAGATGCAGCGCCTAACGGTGGGGTGTACATGTACATACGGTGTTACTCAATGAAAACGCGCCGTGTCACGCAAGTACGCGCCGTGCGTTGCGCAGCCCTGGACCTGCGAACAGTGGGCGCCGAAATGATGCCACGGCAAGGTGCAAATTTGAGCGATGCGACTGGATTGCATTGAACAGCACTGTACATACATGTACATGTACTTGCACCACTGTTGTTTGGCAAAGGAAATCCGGACCTACAAGTATGTATGCTTTCCGCGCAGAGAATTGTAAAAAAAGTAAAGTTCGCACGTCCGCGTTACCACCGGCAACACAGTTGTATTGAGAAACACAACCAGCTTAGGAAGTTTCGCTCGTGCCAGGCCACCATCATGCCTGTAATACCAGGGTGGCAGATGTATCGCCTACTGGCCAGGGTGAGGTGGTAACTCTCACAACCAATGCCGCACAAGGGGGCGATTTCCTCGTTAGCTGCATCCATGTTACCTTCACTCCGAGTAGTGAGTACCCAGTTGACCGTGGGTGCCGGCGCAGCTCCCTGCATGTAAAGTGGTTCGCGCATGCATCACTGCGTTTGTTAGCACACTGCACGCTCCCTGCTCCCAGCACGGGTCTCCAACTCGGGACCTTGTGATTCGTAGGCAAGCCCACAACCACTCGGCCAAAGCGCTGGTACTGCAGAGAACTGTAGTTGTGGCCAAAGAAACCGATCCTTGCGAGCCGAAATCAATGCCAAGGCTCATGCCGCGCACGTGTCACTTGGATGGGTTTGTGGACCGTTCATGGTGTAATTGATAATACAGAGGTTGTGCACACCGAAATTCGTAGCGCAGTAACGAGTATTTTTAACGAAAAAAGCTAGCGAATATCCATAAACCGTGAGGTTGCACACAACGGGTGAACTTTTTCGTAGTGGGTCGACGCGCGGCGGCCGCACGGATGCGAAGAGTCAAGACAGGGAGTTGTAAAATATCAGTATTTTAGTACTCCAGGTAACGGAAAATATTATCGTAGAGCTACTCTGTTTCGGTCGTGTTTGGACGGATCTTCGCAGCAACGGAAGCTCCCATTGACAGCAGAGGCCTTTTCTTGCAAGCTCCCGATGTTCGCTGACGACATGACGTTGTATGCCAGCAGACGCACACAAGCTGAGGCCGTCGCTACCGTTACTGATTCGTTATCTGCAATTTCTGTGGATCTAGACGAGCTTGGGCTGCGCATTAATACAACAAAGACTGTAACTTTGATGATTTCTAAGTCTTCTCAACCCCTCTCAACTCCAATCGTTTTTAACCAACAGCCTCTGACTCAAGTGTCTAGCACGAGAATCCTGGGAGTCATTGTAGACAGTGATGTTTCTTGGTCTGGTCACATAGACTTTATCGTTAGGAAGACTTGCACGAAAATTGGCGCTCTTCGACGGTGTTTTCGGCAACTAAGTTTGAAGGCAACACGGCAGTTTATCCTCTCTGTTATCCTGCCTGACTTATTATACTGCTGCTCTTGCTTTGCAATGAAACTATCCGCCAAGGACCGACAGCGACTCTCGTCCGTTTATCGTCGTTCTGTACGCGCTGCTTGTGGCTCGAAACTACAAGATGACGTCATGCCGCTGTTAGCTAGATTGTCGATTGATCCGTTTGAACATTACCTTATTCGTAGCATTGCTAAATTTATCCATGTTAATCATGTCGTTTTCCCTCTCCCAAATCTGACGGACCTTTTCCCTCAAGTTTCAACCGGCCCTAGGACAACAAGAAGCTCTTTTAATGCTGCTATTGCAATATCTAAATTCCGGACGACTGACGGTGTCAATTCCTTTTCAAATCGTGCTGCCCTGTTCTTTAATTCTTTGCCTGTGGAGTGGCGCACCCAGCACCGCACTACATTTGCTAAGCACCTTCAGACCATGCTAAAAGACGCAGCGTCTTTTCAGAAGTATTTTGATCTTCTTTTCAGCAAACTCCCTCATTGATCTGCACCGCCTGTATTGTATAACTGTGTTTACTGCGTTCCTAGTTTAAATTCGTTTTTAAAAACATCTCTTTAATTCTTGCATTATCCCATTATGACCATGCTTAAAGACGCAGCGTCTTTTCAGAAGTATTTTGATCTTCTTTTCAGCAAACGGCCTCATTGATCTGCATCGCTTGTATTGTATACCTGTGTTTACTGCTTACTGCTTACTGCTGCTTTATTGTTCCAAGTATCAGTTTAGTTTAGTTTAAATATCTCTTATCATTTTTATTATTTTTTCTCACCCCACACCCCTCTACTCTGTTATCGGCCCTCTTAAGAGTTGTGTTCATCACTGTTGAGGCTTCCGATGGAAAATAAAAGAATACTACTACTACTACTACTACTAAATTTCGTTACTCAAACCCGGACCGTCAAAATATTACGAATCTTCTTTGTGCGCAACCTCTCTAATGGAAACGCGGCGCTGCCTTCGTCAGTTTGACTCGCGGGTTGGATCTCTTTTGCCACGGCTGTATAATTATTTATTTTGATGTTTTTGTGCACAGCTGAGGGTCCGTGCACATGTGTGCCATTGTGTGGTCTTGCTGGCTGCAAAATTAATGTACATCAGTCTGGATCTCAATCGGCATAGCTGTTCGCTGCCTCCATGCTTCCCTCGTGCAAGGCCACGGGTTCCCTAATAACTGTGGGTCGCAGCACGGCTGGAAATAATCCTTCCGCTTCCAAGCAGGACTTGAACCTGGTACCCTCTGTTTCTCAGCCATGGTCTTAGACCATCCCACTCTGCCTGCCTCCTTGGCTAGAACCCCGGAAATGTGGTATACAGAGTGTGCAGCTCCGAATGGGTTGCTATCACGGAGAATTTTCTTGATATAACATCATTTTGGTGATGTAGTGCGTACAAGCAGATCTCCCGCTGCTGGACAACTGCAGCACAGTTGTATGCACTACGCCACTTCCCTCCACATAAAGTCCCCTCAGACTTCCAGAACACAGTGGTTTTGTAGTATTGAATAATTATGTGGACGCAGTATTTAGACAAGAGAGTAGACAAGAAGGAAGACACTACACACAACACTAGAGAACCACTGGAGCATGTGCTCTTCTATACTTGATTGGCTCTCATTGCCATGGTGAAGGAGCGGGAAATACGAATAGTAACTATTGTACTGTCTTACTATGAATACACCAGTACTGGAAAAGCCATGTATGTATATATACTAGCAGCACCACAGGCCCAGGCCAGCGTTGCCTGGCCGAATGTGGCATGCGGCGCGGGTGAAGCAAGTACATGAACAGCACACGTGCTCAGCACGTGGTGGTGGCCAGACAGCTGAAGTCCTGGTGAGGGAGGTTCTTCATCGTTGGAAGGAGAAGGAGGGACGTCTGTTACGCCTTCGGGAGGCTGGTCAGGGTTGTCCATCACCTGGTGGCGGATGAAGCGGCTCAAAAAATTCATAAACTTACGAACAAAAGTGCGATGCGCTCTTCACTGCAGATCAGATGCAGAGTGCAGTCAGTGCAGATCTTTTGTATCCTTTTGTTGCAGATGTTTCTATTTGCAGAGAACGGTTCACGTGGTCCGCAGCGCTTGTGCGGCTGCTAGTGCTACCTATGCCCTAGGCTAGGTGGCTACATGATTCGTACGCTTCGCGTGCACGTGCTCAGTGCTTCTGCGCGCGGCTGCTACTGCGTACTGATCGTGTCTGCTACCACCTACACTATTCGCACGCTTCGCGTGCTCAGCACGTGGTGGTGGCTATACGATTCGCACGCTTCGCGTGCTCAGTGCTTCTGTGGCTGCTTCCGCTAGCTACACGATTCGCACGCTTCGCGTGCTCAGTACTTCTGCGGCCGCTAGCTACACTGTGCTACACTGTTCGCACGCTTCGCGTGCTCAGGGCAGCGCTGCTCCGCAGCGCTTCAGCGTGAAACAAAAACACACGTCACAGGTGCCTCTTCTTTATAAGGAGCGTGACACACACACACACACACACACACACACACACACACACACACAGACACACGTCACAGGTGCCTCTTCTTTATAAGTAAAGATATAACGAAGTGCTAACTCTAACCAGTTAACGAGGAGAAATCTGTCGTTAAAATAGAAATCGTTATACAGAAATCGATACATATACTGCCCGGAGCGTTGAGAATGAGTGAGAATCGTTACCGTTGGTACACGTAAACTAGTCAATTTTGGGAAATCGTTATATATGCGCCTCGTTAGAATAATGGCTTATTACACCTGCATCAAGTATGACCTACGAGTGCAGGTTTTAGTATTGCGGCCATGACAGACACTTCAACTTCAACAAATAAAACTTAAACCCGTTCTTTTATATTTAGGTGACTGTTTTTGATATTTTCTGTTTCGCCTTTTCTGCAGTTGCATGCGTATACATGTAAGCACATCATTCCAGCTCGTTCCTCATTCTTCCTTCCACTTGGCAAATGCTGGTTTTTATACATTGTGCAATTGCTCAGCGTCATTTGCAATAATAAACGAGAGAGCTTGGAAGCTCAGGGCCCTACGCTTTGCTTTTGTTATTGCAAAAAGTTTCCATCTGTTCGAATACCATGCATGATGAGCTAGGCAAAAAAGCATAGCGTAGGGCCCTGAGCGAAATAAATAAATTTTCTCTTGCATTCGAGGGTAATGCGACACCGTCTACCACCTTGATGACCCAGGGGAAAAAAGCATAGGGACGCTATACATTTTTCATTTCTCCTACTTTTTTAAAGACTTAACCTGTGATTGGAACCCGCACTATGGCCCTGCATGCATTCCCCGATACACTTACACAGGTATACGCATACATACCAGTACTCATTTTTCAAACTTGCTTCACGTTCTCATCTTACATTTGAAAGCCCTACTAGTATTTGAATACTGTGGCCAGCTGTCTTTGATGGTACGGGACAGGTACGGGATAGGGCCAGCTAGGCCAGGCATACCGACGGCACAAACAAATATTTGAATACTGTAAAGCGTGAAATTTTCGCGGCGTTTTTAGTTCGCGTTTTCAGAATCCGGACAGGTTTGCGAGGTTTTAATTTTGCGATTGCTACTGTGGCATTCATGCTACACCTTCCATCAAGAGTAGATAAACAAGAGTGTGCAACTCCGGATCTCTCCTGCACAATCTGCAGATACCCCCGCCCCACGGCGGAATTTTTTGTTGACGTCACATTTTTTCAGAAGAACGCGCATTTCGCCGCAGAGCAGTGTGAGAGCACGTGCTGGGCACCGACCTTGTAGTGTAAAGCCGGCCAAGAGCACGAGGGAAAACTTTCCGAAAGACTCGCAGCTCGTGCGTCGTCGAAAAGATTACGTCAACAAAAAATTCCGCCGTGGGCCTACCCATCCGCGAGTTGCACACTCTTGTTTATCTACTCTTGCTTCCATGGATCTCCTTTTCGCGCTGTCTTAATTTCGCGATTTCCACGCGGTCGCGAATTTCTCAGAAATTAGACCATGGCAATAATTTCACAGTTTACAGTACTGTGTCCAGCTGTCTTTGATGGTACGGGACGGGACAGGTACGGGATAGCGCCAGGCATGCCGACGGCACACACAAACAAACAGACACGGAATTAAAGCTGTGTGGACCCTGGCTAGCTGCCAGACGTTGCTGAAGTAACGTCTTTTGCATAGCTACGGGAATAATAATAAATGACGGACACTGGACAGCCATGTAGACAAAGTCAGAAGCTGTGCACTCTGGGTTGCAGCCTTCAGGTAGGGGTGAAACCCAGAGTATATTATCCAATACTCGAGCACTCGCTCGAAAATTTGAAAAGAGCGAGTACTTGTTCCGCGAAAATACTCGAAACGTGCTAGGCACTACTGTATGCATGTACATCAAGTACTTCTGTTGCTCTGGCCAGTACTTACAGCCCAGGCAAGTGCGCCTACTGTTACTCTGGCCAGTACTTACAGCCCAGGCAAGTGCGCCTACTGTGGCCTAGCACCTCTAGATCTGAATCTTGTGAAAGTCCAGTGCTTTTTGATAGTAACAAGTAACTTGTGAGAAGTGCTTGGCAAGACTTCATGTATCGGGTGTACTACGTTCCATGTGACCAGAATGTGTGCAGTCCATTGTTTATGTTGTCAGTAAAATACTCGTACTCGCTCGAATACTCGCTCGTTTTTTCACCGAGTACTCGAGTCCTCGATTTTGGCACTCGTTTCACCCCTAGTTTCAGGTGCTCCTGTTGGTACAGTAAAACCTGCCCAAACCGGACGCCCTTGGTGCAGCAGAAACTGTCCTGATATGACAGGATTCCGCTTGATCCAGCGATGCATGTTCGATCCACAGCGCTGTCGGTGCATAAAAATTATATTTGTCTGGTCAAGACAGGATTCCCGGCTTGGTACAGGGGGCGGCAAACGCAGGTGTGACTGTTATTTGCAAGACTGGATGGTGCACTGTACATGTGCTGTCGCTAGCACTTGCAAGACTAGGTTTACAGCACTGTTTGTTACTGTCTGCCTACTCACTGTCTGTCTACTCACTGTCTGTCTACGCACTGTCTGTCTACTCACTGTCTGTCTACTCACTGTCTGTCTACTCACTGTCTGCCTACTCACTGTCTGCCTACTCACTGTCTATCTACTCACTGTCTGCCTACTCATTGTCTGCCTGCTCACTGTCTGTTTACTCACTGTCTGCCTACTCATTGTCTGCCTACTCACTGTCTGCTTACTCACTGTCTGCCTACTCATTGTCTGGCTTCTCACAGTCTGTCTACTCACTGTCTGCCTACTCACCGTTTGTCTACTCACTGTCTGGCTTCTCACAGTCTGTCTACTCACTGTCTGTCAACTCACTCTGCCTACTCACCGTCTGCCTATCCATCATCTGCCCCCTCATTGTGTTTCAATGGAGGTTTACAGCACTGGTTGTCACTGTCTGCCTACTCACTGTCTGCCTACTCACTGTCTGCCTACTCACTGTCTTCCTACTCACTGTCTTCCTACCCATAGTCTGCCTACTCACTGTCTTCCTACCCATAGTCTGCCTACTCACTGTCTTCCTACCCACAGTCTGCCTACTCACTGACTGCCGCAAGTTACCCATTGTCTGTTTATTCATTGTCTGTCTTCGCATTGCCTGTCTCCTCATTGTGTTTCCATGCAGGTGTGCTTGATGAGGGAACATGGATGTGTCATGACAGTAGTGGTTTTGCAGAAGCTACAGCATGGATGGTATGTGAACTGCTAGGACCACCATCATACCAATGTAGACCAATGTATTCCCTGAGCCATGAACC